TGTGCTATAGACTTACCTCCACGTGGTGCGCCCTGGGCAAAGTATGCTCATACGGCAAAAAGTCTATAATCAGGCAGTTGACTTCTGACTTCAAACTACCATCGCCTCACTCTATGCCATATTCGACCCCTTCCACAGTACTCACCTTACCCTTTTCTCTACCTTTGTGTCTGTCTGCCTCTTTTACATCTGTGAATCGCTCTTCTGTTCGCTACCCCTCGACTTTCTGCTACTTTGATGAACCTTCCCTCTGTGAAGCCCGAAATCAGCTAAATGGCTAATGATGGCTATCAAAACGCCTGCCATTTGAAATAAATAAATTTATTCTAACAAATCGGATTGACAGACCCATTTCGATAGTTTACAAATAAAAGTTCTCTTAAGTCAATGAAATATTTTTCATACATTCATAAGATTTAACCCCCATTTTGTTTAGATTATTTTTAAACATGGTCGAAAGTTTGCAAACGGAAAGTAATTTTATTAATGATGGTGCATTGGTCATCGCTTGCTTCAATGTCAGATGTCACGGGGTCAGATTCCATCGCCACGCACCTTAATGAGCCGACTGGCTACCGCACTGACAACGTCCGACTGATTCAGACGACGGCAGACTTCCAATCTCGTAGCCGAGAGGCACCATGATGCCACCCTCTACGCAAGGTTAGCTTTTAAAACGCGTTCCTAAATTATTATTATTTTAACTCGGAATATAAACTTACCTTTTCAAGCTATTTTTGCTCTAAGCAGAGAGGCGTGTGGGTCCTGTTTGCAAATTCTATTGTTATGGCATTTTATAAGTCGTAGGTTACTAATTCCGTGGTGGATTTTTGTCGAGTAGGATTCTAGCACATTTTTAAAACATGATTTTCACCAATTTTTACAGCAATATAACAGTGTAATCAACTTAAAATGGTCCAAAAATATAATATTTTAAGATATCTTAGTTAAAAAAAATGGAAAGATTCCAGGGTTCCTAACTCATTACCCGAAGCTGCATATGTTCAGGTAAATTGAACTCTAAGTACAGCTAATGAAGTAAATACCGTATTTTTTCAATAGCTTTGAAATATTATTATATCAACTGGCAGGCGTCTTGATGGTTATCATTAGCCCTTTAGTTGACTTCAGGCTTCATAGAGAGGAAGGTACATCAAATTGAAAAAAGTCGAGAGGGGAGGGGGAACAGAAGAGTGGTTCGCATATGTAAAAGCGACAGACACAAAGGTAGAAAAAAGGTGAGGTGAGTACTGTGAAAGTAGTCGAATATGACATATAGGGAGATGATGGTAGTTTGAAGTGAGAAGTCAACTGCCGGTTAATAGACTTTTTTGCCGTATGTGTATACGTTGTACACCCCATAGCTTTGAAACAAATCACATTGAAGCGTATATTTGAGTAGGTGCTTAGTCGAAGGACTTTCAGCTTCACCCAACAATCGTTACCTTCATGGAAGTAGATGCTTCATATATGAGTGCGCATTTTTTCAACCTTCGTCGCCAAATGTGTAGCGAATGAAGCATCTTGGAAGATATGCTTCATTCGGTCAATATTTGGGGTTTATATGCATTTTGTTCTTATGCTGTGCATTATTCAAATTTCTATAGTTGCATTTTGAAATCAACTAAAGTTATATTTCATTCATTGCATATTACAATTACGGCTGCTATTCGCAATGCTTTTTATGTGTGTACATTTCAAAGAAATTGACGGTAGTTTTTAATCACTTTTTATTTAAGAACGAGTATATATTATTGATACTTGAAAGTAGACACGAAAGTGAAGTTACTAACACCCGATAAATTGAAATTGAGTCAACTTGTTAGAAGTGGATTTTGTGTCTCTCTTTTCGTCGTCCCGCCTTAAGTCATCATTTCAATCAGCAAGAAGGCGGCAGTTTCAAACGCAAGTGACATTGCCACTCCGCCCATAAGCGACGCCCAGTAGAAGGTATTTCGATAGAGGATCAGGAGAGCCGTGAACATAAGAATAGCTCCAGCCAAAATAACTAACATCTCAAGAATCACAATCCATCTCAAACTCTTCATCAATGCCAGGATTGATAAAATAGCGGCAACACCGAATAGGATCAGAGCTGTGGCTATCAAACCAGTCATTTGTATATAGCTGTCGTTGATATTCCGACAGCGAATTGAAAAGATTGGGCCGCAGACGTTAACGTCCAGACTCACTGCCAAACAGGTGAAGATGATAATTGCGATGATAGCCACAACATATTTAACGCCGGCATGAATCATTTTGATTTGAAATTCTAAAAATTAAAAGAAAAGGGGATATCTGAGTGTCTTGACAAAAAATTTTTTTTAAAAATTATATTTTTTAGAAAAAAAGAACTAGAAAGATGCTACGATGAGTACTTGCCATTTTGATAAAAAATGTAATAAAGATTCAATATTAATAGTTTTGGGGTGTGCGATAGACTTACCTCCAGGAGGTGCACCCTGGGAAACGTATACTCATACAGCAAAGAAGTCTATTAACTGGTAATTGACTTCTGACTTCAAACTACCTTCACTCCACTGTATGTCATATTCTACAACTACCACAAAACTCATCTCACCCTTTCTTTATCTTTGTGTCTGTCTGCCTCTTCTACATCTGTGAACCACTCTTCTGTTCCCCCTCTCGAATTTTTCTCGTTTTGTTGTTCCTCCCTCCGTGAAGCTCGAAGTCAGTTAAATGGTTAATGATAACTATTCAAAACGTCTGCCATTTGAAATAATAATAATCGTATTATTAGTTTTAGTGAGCTAACGTTATGTAAAATGAAATGGATTTGAAAATCGTTGATGTTAAAAGCGCAAACATTAAATCCTCTGCTGCAAAAGAATTTTCCATATATTTAAAAGAAATCCAAAGTGAAAACAAACAAAAAATGTTAATGCGCGTTGAGAAATATCATTTTTTATGGTACGAATTAAAAAACAAACGATTCAACCACTAAATTGGCCAAAATAATGTGCCAAATATTGAAATAGCATTTTAAGATTAAAATCACTCGTAAAATGCGTAGGACAGAAATTTGAATAAAAAATTCCTTCGTGAGTGTTTTGATAAGCAGGAATGTTCCGATCCTTAAATGGCATTAAAAATGGATAGTGTTACTATAAAAATAGCTTTAAAAATCACTATTTGTGTACTTTTCAAAGTTTAAATATATTATTTATTGTAAATATAAAGTAAGCCAATATTTTGCTCATTTTCGCCGATTATAAAATAATTCCTCATCTCCAAAGTCAACCATATAATTGACAATAAGTCACGAGACTTTTCATGGAAGCGAAATATTTATCTGCTGTTGATCGTGAATTTTGCCTGAAGGCTCTAGGCCCTCAAAACCACGAAAAGTGTTTTTTTTTCAAACTCCTTAAGTTGTCATTAACCCTGTAGTATTTTCGCCCTTAAAAGCTAGTGTTATGTAAAAAGGAAGTTAATTTTTTAAGCAAATTGCTTTGACCATTCTCTTGCACTTAGACCAATACAGTATTGTTCATTATCGTCACAATTTTGCGTGAATTTTGGTTTAGAAATCATGCACCATTTAGCTAAGCCAAAAAATACAATTTTTATTGGTCAATTTATTATTTTCATGTGTTTTGTATTATTTTTTTGTCATTGTTGATGGATTAACTATTGTCAAAATGGCTCTGCTTAGCATAAAGTTATGCGATAGCTATCAAATAGTTCCCGCCATCTTGTGAGATCATTCAAAGGCAACGATAGCATTTTCAAACAACTCTTAAAAGCATGACCAAAATGTTTTCGACCATTTAAAGTTCAAAATTATGATAATTCGAATCACACCGCAAATAACAGATGAACTGAAAGTGACTCTAAAACAGCATTGACACGTGGATCAAATGACAAATAGGGAAAGATGACATTAAATCACTTACCAGAAGGTATGAGAGTAGTCCTGTGAATGAGCGTGGAGACTAATTGAATCACCACCCTCAGCTCGTTGATTTTTTATAGGCCCTGGCCCCTAAATGTTCGAAACACCTCCGCCACGATAGGCCAAAAAGCCAAGGAGCCAAAATTTCTGTTTTACTCGTGTGCTATGTGCACTATGATGCACTTAGCACACGAGTAACGAATACGATTTCCGCGTTACGATACTATGTGCGTACTGGCTTACAGTCTCTCTCTTTTCCACCACGATGTGGTCACTTAGTAGCCATATCTGCTAACTATTTTGGACTAAATGTTTGTTTTTGAGTACGTTTGTTATCCAGATGCCTAGTTGAGGGTGATCCATTAAATTATGACCAATTGGGTAAACTTTGGTGAGGCTTTTTTAATCACCTTACACCTACTAATATCGTGATAATAGAAAAAATATTAATCATAATCTATTTAAACTGTATTTATATAAATAGCAGGCGTTCTGATAGTTATAATTAGCCCTTTAGTTGACTTCAGGCTTCACAGAGGGGGAGGAACATCAAGGTGGAAAAACAGTCGAGAGTGGGGGGGGGGGAGGAACAGAAGAGTGCTTCAAAGACAAAGGTAGAAAAATGGTGAGGTGAGTACCGTGGAAGTAGTCGAATATGGCATACAGTGGGGTCATGGCAGTTTGAAGTCAGAAGTCAACTGCCCTTTGATAGACTTTTTGCCGTATGAATATACGTTGCCCAGGGTGCACCACGTGGAGGTAAGTCTTTCGCACACCCCAGCTATTTAAACACATCTACGGACCACTAATCTTTGGAAATTGAGAAACTGAGTACTTTCGGGGTTCTGTTAATGGAGATTTTAAACGAGAGATTATTATTATAGCGCTAACCTTGAAGTAAAAATCCTAGTTTTTTTGTATTATACTTAATCCCTATTGCTGTTATTGGTCGATTTTAATTCTCACCATTTTTGGTTACCTTACTACAAGAAAGACAGAGTTTTGCATTGCCATTGGGAAAAAAATTATTGAATACGTTTAAACAAATATTACAATTACCCGATAGACATTGGTGACTTCAGCTTATGTCTGAGTATTCGAAACTATGTGTGGTACGAACTTACATCGGCATAGAAATTTCACACGCGAGATTTACATGCATAGGTATAGAATCAGGCAACCGCGTGAAGAAATATTGCTCAATGGAGAATTTTTTCAAGAAACCCTAACCCCATTTCTTGGTTAAAAAACGGGCATATCCGATAGGGAGAAATATATATATATATATATATATAGTTTTTTTCTAGACTTGTAGCGAAGATGATGCATCGTTCAAGTTCAGGTAAATGGTTCAAAATCAAAATAAGTGCGAGTTTGATCAACTTATTTAATGGGCCTGCGTGCGCTTTAAAGGTGAAAATATCCCGGCGTTTCTAATTAGCGAAACCCACTGTAGAAAGACATCGACGACGGAGTTTGCATTGAATAAATTGCATATATTTCACATCCTATTTAAAAAAATATTATGCCAAAAAAACCTCAGTTTGAAGTCATTTAACCGAAACCATGGAGATTTGTGTTTTAGATCAAGCTTTTGTACCTTCAGCTGAAGTAAAATAGGAATTCACCTTCATAAAAAGGGTTAACGATTTGGTGTAGGTGTAGAATTGCTTTCACTAAGTGCAACGTCGTGGGGCCAAATAGAAATGATACAATAATTCGCTGGGGGGGGGGGTGCGTAATAGACTTACCTGGACGTGGTGCAAAAAAGTTTATTGATCGGCAGTTGACTTCTGACTTCAAACTACTATGGCCCGACTATTTGCCATATTCGACCCAGTACTCATCTTACCCCTTTTATGCCTTTGTGTCTGTCTGTCTGTCTCTTTTACACCTGTGAATCACTCAGCTGTTCCCCCACTCGACTTTTTGTCGCTTTGGTGTTCCTTCTCCTCTTCATGAAGCCCCGAAGTCAGCTCCAGGGCTAATGATAACTATCAAAACCCCGAAGTCAGCTCCAGGGCTAATGATAACTATCAAAACGCCTGCGATTTGATATAAATAAATAATTTGATAAGTAATGCGTTGGATGACGTAACGGAAATTATGTGAAAGGATGCTGCTCAGTATAGGATTTTAGTCACCACAAGATTCGTCATATATTTTAAATTAATAAATTGATTGTTCTTCAAGTCAGAAATACATTTTTGTACAACCCTTAATAGTATCTTGATTTTTTTAAGGAAAAGTATGGGTTAATTCAGGCAGACTAGCACTGATTTCTTCGAAAGTGTTTGTAAAAAATACCTCTTGTGGAATCCTAAATTTTGAAGGTTAACTAAAAGGTCACCTCTGTTACACTGTTTGGCTATTGCGAAAGAAATGCTCTTCGGGTAAACAGACTGAATTGTATGCACTAAAGTGGAGGAAAACTTTCACCCAGTTTGCATATGAAAAAGCAAAGAACAAGCTGAGTTCGATGATATGACCTAAACTGATTACTGACGAAGACGCAAAATAGAAAATATGATTCAAAGTAGCATAGGCGATATTTACCCTCATACTCGAAGGTGACTACTGATTGCTGTTCGAGATGCATTAAGAAAAGATGAATTCTAACGAAAAGAGTATGGAGGAGAACCTCCTCTTAAACTTCTGATTATCTGGAGATGAAATGTTTGCTTTAAGTTATTTGCCATGAGAAGAAGACATAAACTGAAATAGAATTAATCACGTGACACCCAACCTTAAAGAAGAACTGAAACCGACTTCATTATATGACTTCAAGTCCCAAAACAAAATATTTTCTTAAGTATTTCCTCTTAAAAATCATTTTATTATTTATGACTTTAATAATCTTCAAGTTCTCTCCTATTGGCTTTATTCGAATTTCGGTTATTTTAATAAATTGCATACTTATAAAAAAGTAAAGATATATAAATATATGATTGAAAATACTTATCGGTATCTATTAATATTTATTTATTTATTTCAAATAGCAGGTGTTTCGATGGTTATCATTAGGCCTTTAGCTGACTTCGGGCTTCATAGAGAGGAGGAACATCAAAGTGAGAAAAATTCGAGAGGAGGAACAGAAAAGTTATTCAAGGGTATAAAAGAGATAGACAGACACAAAGGCAGAGAAAAGATAAGGTGAGTACTCTAGAAGTGGTGGAATATGGCATTCAGTGGGGTCATGGTAGTTTGAAGTTAGGAGTCAACACCTACAGTGGGGTCATGGCAGTTTGGAGTCAGAAGTCAACTGCCGATGGGATCATGGTAGTTTGAAGTCAACTGCCAGGTAATTGACGGGGTAGTTTGAAGTTAGGAGTCAACAGCCGGTTTATAGATTTTTTTGCCGTATGAGTATACGTTGCCCAGGGTGCACCACGAAGAGGTAAATCTATCGTACACCCCACTTAGTATTCATATCATTGAGTTATCTTTATATCTAAAGATTTATAAGCAATATAGCAAAATGTCTCTCTGATTTGGCGCGTTCTCCGTATCTCTTAGTCTCTATCTGAAACCGCTATAACTGATTTGAGGATTATAAAATCAATAATTGTCTATTTCACTAGTCGTATTCGGAAAAGAAAAGCTTAAGTTGACTCTAATAGGTCAACAATTCAAAAATATAGTAAGTTTGAAATTCGATTATACCACGTTGGTTCATAGTATACATCAAAACACGAAATCTGATGAAATTGACTCAAATGAGTATTCCGGATTTAAAAAAAAATTTTTATTAAAGTTGAAATGAACTTTTCATGACATTTCTCAAATCTTTATCGTTCTTTTTACATACCCTCACTCTTTTCAAATTCAATATTTCCAAAAAATGAGAAATAGTATGGAAGCAGCAATTTAAATTTCGCGACAATCTTAACAGAAATAACAACAGGCTGGTGAAAGTAATATTAAAATCAGAATATCACTATTGGAACGATCCAAGTTTTGAAATCGACTATCAATATCGATCCACCTGATATGTGGACAACAGGTATAATTGGAAATTATGTGTAGTCTCCATATTATTAGTTTTTTTTCTTAACTGAGTGTGTACTTGTGAAGGGAATAGCAAATGGATCTTTGGAAGCCACGTAAAAGAATCAGCCAACTGTCTGGTTTCCCTGATTTAAGAGTACCTATCAAAGGCATGCTTGCAAGCTAGCATTGAAGTACAGCCAGATTTTAATTAATTAAATGTCCCATCCAACCTATCATTCTGCATAAATTTTGATTTTCCATTTTTGTTTTAGTTACTTTTATTGCTTGTAATGGTCCGCGAATGAATTACAAGCCAAATACTCGGAAAAATTAAGCGAAGAACTCCTATCAGCCATTTCGGGTTCATTAATTTACAAAAGCATTTTTCCTGGGAAAGTGATATTGACCATATTCACAAAGCACGATGAAATAGGTAAGTTAACATCAGCCACTATGTTCGCAAATACTTCCAACTGCAGTTCTTCTTATAATTCGAGCCAATTTTCACAACACTGAGAAGATTGACCATTATTTTTTTCTATTCCAATCTTCATTTTCATCTACCCGGGTTCGAATGAGCCGGCACCATTGGGGACAGTAGACTATAGATACCAAGGAACAACTTATTATTATATCAAATGGCAGGCGTTTTGATTGTTATCATTACCCCATTAGTTGACTTCAGGCTTCACAGAGGGGAAGGAACATCAAGGTGTAAAAAATTCAAGGGGGGGGGGTGAACAGAAGAGTGTATCAAAGACGAAGGTAGATAAAGTGGAAAAAAGGTGGGATAAGTACTGTGGAAGTAGTCGAATATGACATACAGTGGGGTCATAGTAGTCTGAAGTCAACTGCCATGTAATAGACTTTTTGGCCGTATGAGTATACGTTGCCCAGGGTGCACCACGTGGAGGTAAGTCTATCGCACACCCCAGGAACAACTTAGAATCATATTCTCGTAACACGAGTGTGGTCCCTACCATTCGTCACAACAATTTATAGATGAAATATCTGAACAAAAACTATCATCAATTTAAAATTTGGCATTTTTAGTCAACTTTATAGCAACACGAGTCGAAATGAAAGAAAAAAAGAACATATTTAACTAGTGCTTAATGCTTGAAAGCCGTATAAAACTTAACTGTCATTTTTGTGTGATTAAAAAAGTAGTAATTAAATCTATTCAAGGTGCCTCTAACTACCATATGAATGATTTATTAATTATAATGATCAAAGATATTCATTTAAAAAAAATCATTGATATGAATCCTTTGATTTAAATTTAATGAAATAGGCAATATGAACATTTGCAAACATTCTGTGGTCGCATGCACAACTTCAAACAAACAACAAAGTGGAAATGAAATCGTATTCGCTCATCTATTATACGTCAATTATCAAGTAGTTGGCCGTTCTCTTGGCCTGTCCAATCAGCTTAGATTGGCCGATCGCTCTGGAACTATAAAAGATCGAGAATATGGCGATTTAAATATCCCTCACTTCTCCACTCAACTGAGTTACCAAAAAAAACCAATTATCATGACTATCAACTACCTCAACATCAGATACGTCTTGGCACTTTTGGCCATCTTGCTCTTCACTTGCCTTGGCGTCGGTCTCTCTGTTGGCGAATGCGGTTGCATCTTCTCGACCCACTGCCGAGCCAACGATTACATCTACGTGCAAATGACTGGTCTCATGGCTACTTCCCTATGTCTCTTCATGATTGCTGCTGCCATCTCCATTGTAGCCGTCTTCAAGTGCAATAAGTGGATGAATGTTGTCAATTTTATCATCATTTTAATCGGCGCCATATTAATGCTCGCCGCTCTCTGCATCTTCTTCAGAGACTACCATTACTGGGCCTCGCTCATGGGAGGAATTGCCATGACGCTGTCATTTGAGACCGCGGCTTTCATACTCATGGACCTCTTCACCAAGGAGCAGGTGGTATCAGTGACTGAAATACAAATGAACTAATGGAAATTCGATCGCCTTACCAGCTAATCTTTCCCATTGCTGCCTTCTCAATTTGTACCATATATATCAGTTTCAATGATTTCATTTCTTTCAAATTTTCTTTGTGTGTTTTTTTTTATTTTACTTATTTTCAGTCGGAGTAAAATAATCAAATATTAAACAAGATTCTTTTTTTTGAGAGGGAGATTGTTTAAATTTATCCTTGAAATAGTTTTTATTTCATGAAAGGAATTTTTTGAAAAATTGTTCATGTTAGCTTTGATTAGATATTTAATTTAATCACTTGAAATTAATATTGATTTGATTAGTATAATTGGATTTTAACAAATTTACTTACTGTTTAAAGTTTATATATATATATATACGGAGAGTTTCTAAAAGGAACGGTTCTGAGAAGATATTTTTAAGTAAAATATTTTTTTATCTGAAATCGTTTTCCTGTTTGAGATTTGTGTTGAGAGGTGCAGTGTTTTATGTTTTTATGTATGGTACAGTTTTGTCGGAATCACTTATCAAAAGTGAGTTGCTTGGCAATTTTTTAGCTTTAAAGAAACCATTACATGATAAACTATTTAGTTTGACTCTAAAATATTAGTTTGAGGTAGGTCGCCACCATAAGTGTTTATAAATTTGTATAATAACTCCTAAAATCATTCAATATAAAATCTTTCAATCGGTGATATCAACAAGAACAGGAAAGATTAATTCCAAAACTTATCAGCAGTCTTTTTCAGTATTCATTAATAAAAAATGAATTTTTAACTAAAACGCAATCTCCTTTCATCCAATGTATTCGAGATAACTACGACATATAAGAGAGCAAAATAAAAATTAAAGCCAACATATAGAAAGACCATATTAAGGAGAGAAACTAATTGTTTAACAATTTTCCGGCAAAGATAACATCTTTACCAACTACATCCCCTATATTTCCTAAAATGCTTTATTCAAATTAATATTATTAGTCTATCCATACTATTTATGTAAAGGTTGAGTTCAAATGAAGTTAGTTTTTGAGAGGTCTGAGATATCAGGGTTTAGGTTTTTTAACAGCAGGTTTCATAGTGACACAAAAGAATCCGTAAGTTGATTAATCAATTAATGGAAAGATGGCCGTGATTGAGAGTTCGATTATAGTCAATTTATAAACGTCGAATTAGCATGGAAGTTTACGATGAGGTAAAATATGAAATAAGTGACATTACTCTAAGACCCAAAGCAGTACATGCATATAAGAGCATCTACATGAACAAGTACATGTGACGTGACTGAAGATAATGTAACAGTCATATAATTACCTAATTCCTGGGGTGTGTATAGAATCGAATGAACACCGCACTTATACTTCAGTCTAAATCACTAATATTTTCATGAAATACACGCATAATTAGTTCAGTGATAATGACTGCGATGGCTAACGACTTATTCCAGAGAGATGATAATATTTATTTGTTCATTTTAAATTTCAAGCTTTATGATAGTTATCATTAGCCCTTTAGCTGACTTCGG